TGTAACACCCTAATCCGTCCAGGTCTGCAGCCCCATTCGGACTAAAGTATTTAACTTGGTAATCGTAAAAATTTAAAACTTTTCAAACACACTTTATTAATCCCAATAATATTTTTCATAACATATACAGTACGGAGTATTCAACAATATTGCGGAAGCGATTTTAATATTGACATATCATAAATTGTTTCAAAACTTGTCACATGCATCCCGACAATCTCGCCCCATCTGCCGCCAGGATCACATTATGCTTTCTACTTACCTGCGTGTAGTAAATAAAACACACTACACGCTCAGCGGTAAAGCTGAGTAAGCATATCTAATGTGTCGAACATCCATATAAACTGAATCTAAATTCATAATCAAATCATTTGATATCATGCACACAATGTTCATTTCAGACATTCACAGTTTTGGTATTATTCAGTTCATATCAACACATTTTATTCAATTCAGATATTAATCCAATAGTGCTCTTAAATTATTCTTAATTTAAGGCCAGATCATAACAACGCTCTTAGCTATTCTTAGTCTAAGGCCAGATCATAACAACGCTCTTAGCTATTCTTAGTCTAAGGTCAGATCATAATAACGCTCTTAGCTATTCTTAGTCTAAGGCCAAATCATAATTTCCATAACCAGATTCTTAAAAGGCAATTATTAATCAGACACTTAAACTATCATTAGTTTAAGGCAATTGATTTCGGACACTTAACTGTAGTCAGTTAAGGCAATCAGACACTTAAACTATCATTAGTTTAAGGCAAATGATTTCAGACACTTAACTGTAGTCAGTTAAGGCAACAACAATATAGAGATTGGTCAACAATGGATCGGGCATTCCCAACGAGTAATCCTCTAGTTTGGTCTACGAATCCCGTTTATGAATTTATATCTAATTCATCAACTATTCATGTTTTCATAAGTTCATTCTAGGATCTATTCTAGAGGTCTTCTAGATAGTCTTAATATTAATGAGCTAATAGGTATATCTTAGAGTTCTTCTAGATATCCTTAACAACATTATTCATCAATTCATACTTTTAGTTCAACAATCATTTCATCCAGAATATTCATCATCATTAATCCATAATATTCATAAAAATGAACAATCAATCAATCATCATAATAACTAATAACAATCAGCGGCCTAGCATCGAGTGTTAACACCCTAGCTTACCGTCATGCATCACATAAGATCCCTTTTAGTTGTTAAAATACCATCTTTATTCCAAGAAATCATCCTTTTATTAATCATAATGGTTTGGTATCAAAATATAGGATTCCATAACTCAAAAATCATATTTTCTAAATAACAATTGATTAATATATGATAGGAAATTCAATTATTAGTTATTAGCTTCATTTTCTTTAATAGTGTAGGGTGACAGTCTACTGTCACTTCTGATAATCTACTGTCTGATGTTCAGAATGGGCTGATAATCGATTATCACACTCTGATAATCGATTATAAAACTTCAGAGAGGGCTGACAGTCGATTATCACATTCTGATAATCGACTGTTGCTCAGCTTTGTTACAAAAATCTGCAGAACGTTGAATAATCGATTTTCAAGTTGATAATCGATTATCCATCGTCTTCTACCTCGAGCCAATTTGCGGAAATGTCACTTTTACTCACCAAACTTCAATTAAAGTATATAAAAATGTTCTCCAAGGTTCATGGATCATTTTAGCATCATTAATTCATAATTTTAACATGAATTTCATGGTTTATGATTCTTAGTTTTTCAAGCATGTCAAACACAAACTCAACCAAATGACCATTTATGAAC